CGAGGACGCGCGCGGCAAATTGCGCGGCGAAGCTCGAGACGATTTGTACGACTCTGACGCCCGATTTTCGGGGCACAAACTCGAAGTAAAGTAGTTTAGTAGAGTCAAATGATCCCCTAATCTACTCTACTTCAAATTTGGGCCCCAGTGATAGGCGCTAAAGTCGCTCAAATCGTTACGAGCTTCGCCGCGCAATTTGCCGCGCGCATCCTCGGACGCACGACTTGACACACACCCCAGATTCCGACATGTATGCGCGGACGAGTTTCACCGGCATTGTAGAGGCTGCAACATTTACAAGGGAACCCATGTAGGAAGTTCAAACACTTGTCATGACCCCTGGCGACAGAAAAAGGCAATTCTGGATAGTTTTGGTTCAATGTAGTCAGTTTCTTTCGCAATTGCAATAACTGAAATCTCGTACACGAACCCCTTCCATGTAATTTCCGGCATGATAATCTCGTACAACCTCTATTTTCACCTTTTTGAGGAGCTTTATTTTTCTCGAAATCGGCGAGTTTTTTCGCTCCCTTCATCATCGATGCATTACTCCCAAACAATATCTCCATTTTCGACATAAAAGAGTAACTCAAAATTATTGTGAACTGTGCCCCCAGGTTTCATTAGCTTTATTCTCTTTCTTCATCGTCAGTTTACACATTAGTTTGCCCTCGGTCAATGATTTCTCCGGTTGTGAGATTTGTCTGTTTTGATTCGAGAACGTATGCGCCAGACAGTTGTGTGAATGGTTTCATCATTATTTACACTGGGCCGTTGATCAAACGACGTCTCGAGGTGAACTTTGAGGAAAAACAGACAACGAATGATAACATTTATTTTAACTCGCTCCAACAAAGAGGTTATGTTGATGAAAAACGTCGAACTTATCCTTTCAATATTGCTTTTAGTAACTAGTAATTAGTAGTTATAAGGGGAACACGGCGCATTTCCATGAAGGAGTTCAAATGATGTAAAAAATATCAAGACTCGAGCTTTTCACTGAGCACAGTTTACGAAAGTTTCGAGCTACCCTTTACAGTTGGAAAGCGGAAAGTCGATGGAGAAGGTGATGAAAAAGGAAGAAGACTCACTGGGTTCTTAGAGTTTGAGGACTCCTGATAATAAGGCGAATAGAATTCTGCTTGCGCGAGATTATCATGAATGAGATGACATAGGATGGTTATTTGGACGAGATGTACGATGTTGCAATTCATTTCAGAGGTGGCTACATTAAACAACCAGGGATGGGCAAAACAGGGTCCACTGCCGCCCTAGGTCAGCAGCTTGAAATTTGGACGTCCGCCATGAATGGTGCAGAATCCACAACGCCTTTGAAACTCGTCCTTTCCTGGGTGTGACTGTCGACGTAGCTTGTCCTTGAGCCCTTATTGCGCCCAGGTCTAGGTCGTTTTTCGACCCATGACGCTCCATGAAGCATACTTTGAGGTCACAGGATCATTACAATTGAAATTTCGGGAACCATTTCTTCCGTAAACTATGTCCTTAATAATTTTCATCACTATCCACATGAAGTTCGAAAACATCGAGGCCAAGATCAACCGTCGCAAAAAAAAGCCTCAACAGTCTCCATTCACTACTTATACTTCCGAATTTTGAACTCAGTCTAACATCAATCCTTATCATAGCACTTTCTTCAGAATCCTAAATTCTTTATGATTACAGATCATACTATTTCCAGAAAAGTCTATTAGTTTCTGAGGCGTTGTTGTGATTTCATTAAATGAAATCGAAAGTGAAAAGAAAGGAAATCGAACTACAGATTTGGCCGGATGTTGACAGTTGGATCTCGTTCCACTCATCCGATGACTCAAATCACATCAGCCGGAAGAAGCCGCATCATTTCTCGGTCGATTGTCATGGGGTCCGTACAAAGCGAGAGAAGTCGCCGCTCTTAGCGGATTACCGATGATTTATGGAATTTCGTCCCGATAGCGAGCGGCTTTGGATGATTCAGCCGAAGCGCAATCCAAGAGGAGTATTGGAACTCCCTTGCACTCATACGAAGGATTTGTAAGAAAATGTTTCCCAAACGTTTCGTGGGATAGCCTGAATGTTGTTCGTACACGAGTAAAACATGCATATCATTCAAAGCAGAAACCAGTCTTTGCGGATTCAACTAAAGGGATCGTTTTTATGTTTAATAGCGTTGCGTATGTACGATTGAATGAGATTCCGTGTGATTAGATGAGCCGAAAAAAGGGGNGGGGATAATCTCAACCACGTGATTCTGTATTTACATGGCGAGTACTGTAACGATACCAATTAAATTCAATGATACTTTTAATCGCTGCGATTGTTCCAAATGATATCTAACGGCGGTCCACGGCTGTACTTCGGAATATCGAGTTGTTTGATTACTAATCTTCGGCAACTGCTACGACTCGTGATGTGCCAGAGTTTGAAATCCTAAAAGCGTAGCGCCTCCCTTATTTCGATATGATACTGAGTGAGGACCTTGAGTAGGTAAGGACTCTAATAAAGGCCATCAGCAGTGAGATTCATCTGAAAAGTTAGGCTGTTTACTCAGTTGTATTCATAGAAGAACTATTCAAAGCACTAAAAGCTTCAAATCTTTTTTCATTTTCATGGCTTACATCAATTTCTTCAAAAAAATTTCTCATGTCTGCATTGAATGTCTGCGATCTGATTCATTCTGTGATTGTTATTTTTATGAGAATACGACGGCATCATAAATCATTCATTACATTTATTTGAAAAACGACGGTGGCAATGCCGCCAATACAACAACCCAATAAAATTTATATAAAGGAAACTATTTCAGACTTTGGTTTTTCGGCTTTTGGATCTTCGTTGAGGCTTAATCTCAGAATTGGATATTTTGCAAATGAGTTATACATCCATAAATAAAATTTATGGGTGATGAAAAAGCCTAGGATGGTCAAGCACTACATTTCTATTGAACTGTTGATAATGATCCATTTATCGAGAATATCGGGACAGTGCAAATGGTACCACAAAACATAAGGAATAGAAAATTTCGGGTGTGGTGCATTAGGAACGAAATGGTCGCGTCGCGGTGAGAGGAGCGTCGCGCGCTAAGGAATGTAGCAGGGTGCAGCAGTAGGTAAGAAATACNTAATAGTAGAATTATGCATAAAATAATGATCGCATATCGATTGAGCTGTATGAAGAACGCTAGAGCTGTAATAACGGCGAATGAGTGGTCCGCGACAGCCGCGTGCGGCAAATCGATTACCCAAAATCGTTCCTAACGTCCGTCTCCCGAAAATTTCTCAGCTATGAAGATATCAAAGACTAACGTCATACTGAGCTTTCGCTTCCTCAGTGTAAACTCTGTCGCAGCAACGTGGTCTCCAGATGATCTCTACCGTTAAACATAGATGCTCGAATTTTGAAAATAAATCAAAACTGGTCTCGGGCTCTACGAATACGTATTTACATGCCCATCCACTTATTAATCACTCATCATTTCTCGTGGTATAAAGAGAATATCTGGGTCACGCAGCCTGGTTTTTCAAGGTGATCGCGGGCATTTCAACAGACCTCTACTTCACCACTATACATACAGCCAAATTTGTTCTGGCTGCCGACTATGTCCTTTGATCCTGAGTCAATCTGTTCCTTATCATAGCATCATAGCAAACTCTTCCTTCAGTCTTTGTTTGCCGTTAAACAGTTTCAATTTTTTCAGATAGAGCATGAACCAGAGAATGTTTCTGCAAGGTCCAGAAATTCTGATAATGATTGAAGTTCCCCCCGGCCTTATGATTATTAATTCAATTATAAGTTAGAATCGAAAAGAATTGGGTGAAAGACACCGGACGGATTTAAAGTTGATAATGGACTGGAACTTCAGCGAGTATAATAGCGAGGGCGTATTAAACCTCCATGAAACCTCCTCCAATGAATAACAACCTGTAAGTTTTTGTCTTATAGCACACACAACCTAGGAATCTCCCTTGACGTTTTTCGAGGTAGACTGTGGACCACCCCTTTTTGCTGATCTTGCTTAACCCAACCTAAAGTGTCATATAGGAGTGGGGGAACGACGAGGAGTGGGGATCGTTGACTTAAACGACTATAAACAGGAACCTTCTCATGTTAGCATCAAATACCGTTTGCATTCAGAAACTCGAAAGGGAAAGGAATTAAAAGGATCAGGTACTAAAGTGATTTGACGCCTAGGAGAAGATACATCTAGTTGCAACTAACATAAGAAGACTGCATCCTATTTCTATCCCCTCTGGTGTTCAATGGCTTGTTCTTCCAATGTCGGGCATGGAATTACAGAGGGAGCAATCAAAAAAGTGAAAGCGCTGACCATATACCACTGATCTATCGGTTGTTATCCTCATCGTCCGCTGTATGACTAGAAATCGTACCAGCCGATCATGTTTGATCAGCGATGTTTACGGACAACGAATAAAAAAAANAAAAAAAATTGTTTGAGCAACTGCCGTCCAGTATCAGCATAAAACCTTTTCCAAAGTGTTTTTTTTTCTCAATTTTGTGATATTAAAGTTCATTATTGACATGTACAACGAATACAGAAACACTGCAAAATATTGCAAATAAAATGACTAAAACACCAGTCGACACCGTGAATAGAGAAGTAGCTGAGTTGAAGTACAGCAACTGGTTACTATTGCATTCATTTAATACTGTTCTCCCACAGGTATTCAATAGATTCTCGTACAGAAGTTAGGCACAGGTGGTTGTTCGGGTGCATCATCGGGAAGAGCTGGAGCTACCGTGGTGGTAGTAGCATCCTTTGATGCACTGTTGAAGAAGGACGAGAAGAAGTCAGCACCACCAAATAGGTTGGTTACTTGCTAAATCAATTCGAGTAGTTGACAGTTGGCTGAACAACAAACAACTTATCGATGCCTCCTCTACCTGTTGGATCTGCTTCTGAACGTATTCTTGGTAGACCGTCTGTTTTTTCTCGAATTCCTTCAGCTCTTGAATTTCGTTGTGATCCAGATCACGGGCGAATGTGTTACCAACGTAGACCTTGTTGCCCTGAAAGGAGCCAGTGGAGGTTACACACGTGATTCTGTATGTTTCCCTATTTCCCTTTTGGGGAAATATGACTAGTGTTGACAGCTACCGAACGAATTTTTCGTGAGTAATCGTACAGGAGTAAACCACTTCAGTGGCCCATTCAAAAGGGTAAGCGGTTTGATTTCACTGGAATTATTGGTTACCTCGTCGTCGAACAAGTGCGATCTGCCGGTTGCCGACTTCGATGAGTCAGACAGACGGCATGATTGCTTCGCAAACACCGCCATCACTCACAAAGCCAGCAGAGCGCACATCAGGAAAAAAATCTCTTCTACGAACAAGTAAACACCTTCTCTACCTCACCTTACTTACTTATTTAATCTTTACATGACGTCAAAATGACGTTACATGGAATACAGTAAGTAAACATCTCAGACACCTCACTACCTCCCATTTGCATGAGAATACCGTGAAAAGAATACGATTCACTAAAAACGGTACCTGAACCATGCATCCATCGAAGTAGAATTGAGTAGTGTCATCATCAGTGCAGAATGATGGCTTCTCTGGTGCTTTAGGAAGATCCTCCTCCTTAGGCGTCACAGCTTTCTCCTTCTTACCAGCCATGCGGGCTTTTAGGCTTTCCTGACGTTCCTTGAGGGCCTTCTTCACGGCCTTAAAGTAGTACTTTGAGTATTTTTTCCAGAAACATAAAATGACAACAAAATTGGTGTTTACCTCTTTATAATCAGCCAATTGCTTCTCATAGTTTACCAATTCCTGTTGTTCTGATGAAGTGAGTTCACGTAGGCGGAATCCATTTGCATAAAGCACATTACCCTGAATAAGTCACCATCAATTTAGATGAATCAGGAGCGGGAGTTCTTCCTAGCGGAGATACAAACTTACAGTTACTACACATCCTGTGGAACCACCGACTCCTCCACTAACGGAGATCGTGCCCACAGTGAGGCGCTTTTGTCTGGGTGCTGCAAAAGCGATTCCACACAAAACACAGAGCACGACCAACTTCATCTGAGAATAAAATGCATTAGAAATCACGAAAGAAAAGGCCCAGATCGTTGATATGAGACGAGACTTAACAAAGTCGAACGGGCATGTGATAAGTGGGCAGAGAAATGCAAAAACACCATTATCTTCGACCGGTTGTCCGGGAACATCCGTGAAAAACATTGTCCTTTGGGGATAGTTTTTTTTACAGACGTGATTTCAACATGAAAGTGAGATCTTTGATGATACGACAGTTTGAATAAACACATTTCCTGGTTGTACTCTATTAAATATGAAAAAATTGAAATGAACGGTTTCGTGCGGAGATTAGAATTGCACAAAATAGCAATCAAAGTTTTTTTCATTCTAATGGAAAAGGATAGGAGGGGAATGGAAAGACGGGGAAACGGGAAAGCAAGACGGTTGATTCATGACCACATTTATTTCTTACACAGCCATTCCGACGGAGAAAATCACTACAAATCTGCAAGAAAATCTGAAATCGATGCAGTCAGGCTCTCGCTCATCATCTCTAACCAAGTGGTGGAAGGATTCTGATGGTGATGGGATGGAATTTCTTGGCTACTGAGGTATAGGTTCAAGAGACAACGAGGAACATATTTCCAACAAAGGGAGTAACTTGTGATAGATAACAAGTTGATAGCTCATCTCAAGTCAACAATTTCCCAACAAGAGTAGCCAATTTCAAGCCAATGAGCTCAATAGACCAAGAAATAACAGTTTATACCTCACGATGGAATGTGGTATTTGTACAAAAACAAGTATAGCCAATTATGTGAGGAATGCGTGGAGAATGACAGTCAATTTCTGCATGCAAACAGCGATTTTTCCGTCGGATCTCAAGCCCACAATGGTTGAGCATACTAGTGTAAAGAATAGCTCCAAAATCAAACAGACAGAGCGATTATAGACCATGGAATTCAGAGTTATGAGCTTATGACGTGCCGATTCCCATCAAATCCCTCCGCCAGGATCTATTAGACTGTCTGCTGACGTCGATCTTTGGCCGGATCAACCATAACCTCCCACTGATCTCCCCACTACAACAAATGTATCTTATTGTATACATGCGAATCCTTAGTACACCAAGCTTTTTCCAAGGGATGGCGATGTATAGTTGGTATTTTTAGGTAAATGGAAGTTAAAAATAAAAGAAAAAGGCATCATGACAAGTAGTAGCTGGCATGTTTATAGCGGCTGTTCAGTTGGGAAGCGGAGTCAGCGAATAGCGAGTGTCGATCTGGTACGACTGAGGGACAAGGGGAGGGATGGGCTAGTAGAAGGTGGAGAGATGGGGCCGGAACTGAGAGCCAGAATGGGGGCGGCGACCGTGGCCGTGGTCGCGATGTGCGGGCGTTGTCGCTATCAAGGGGCAGATTCGCACGAATTGGAGTGTAGCGAATCGGTCGTGTAAGTGAAGCGATGCGAGGAAGTTGGATTATAGTCTATACGCGGGCCGTTGAAGTGATGGAATAGACATAAACCGATCAAAGTCCTTTGCAATACACACGACGAGACAGCTACACGATTTCCCATTCCCGTAGCTTACCTAGTAATGGAGTAATGGAATGAAGAAAGCTAGAAGGAACGTTCGATTGATGGGCGTTCAAAGAATGAATGGGAAAGACGTGCGGGTACAGATGGAACCTGTTCAAAGGAAAAAAGATTGGAGAATTGAGTGGGTCATGATGCGCAGTAACTACACTGAAACGCCACCTATGATCAAATCGAAGATAAGCCTCCATTTACTAGTAAAGGAAAAGTTACTACTTACCCATGATAGGATTAAAAGCCATGGACACCGTTCTAGAGACGATTCACCCTACTTCAACTCATCACACGGATCGACCTGGCCTACTTTGAACTACATAAATCAAATCCGTAAAGATCAGATTGGAGTATGGGAATGTGTCAGTGTGTCGTACGTAGAATTGTTGCTGGCGATGAATAATTGCCTGGATATCAGACGTTCGGTGGCTGTGATACATGGGAGTAGACAATGATCGGGGACGGGTTACGATTGTCGCTTTTATGGGCGCACAGACGATGCAACAGCTGCGCGCGCGCAGAGAAACACAAACTGATTCATTAGAAAAACGTTTCGATAACATTCTCACTTCGCCCTTTGTGTGATGAATCATCCTTAGAGAAAAACCTTCATTCAGTCTATTTATATAGGACCCTGTCAAAGATCAATGATCGACTGGGAAAATTTCTTTTAGTCAAAGGGTCTTCGCACGCCTACAGTAATATAGCATAGGCTGGGCTTGAACCAGGCAAGCATGGCAGTCATTTCCTCAAACAGCAGATCAATATTACCATATCTTCAACTACGATACTTTCCTGGCCCAGCCCTTTTACCTTCCCTTTCTGGATATTCCGTTCGGATCGGCGGCATAAACGACCGAACTGATCAACACCATGAATGTTTTGATTCTGAGTATTTATTTGTTTATAATTTCGCTTACGATGTAGTTCAAAGATGGAAAAGAGCTGTCAGCTTGGCCCGTTGCACATAGCTGTTTTGACGGATGAGGACAATCGTTGTCGTTTCAATCCGTTTGAATATCCCATTGTATTATACTCTGGCCTGTTGGATAAGCAAACTGGTTTGAATGATTTTTCTACTTGGGAACGGGTGCGTCTTCCACAACGATCGTGTGTATTCGTAACTTTTATGGACCTTATGGTTAGGGAGGTATAGTGGCAACACTTCCGAAGTTTTTTGAACCGTCTAGATTTCATATGCCATCTGAATTTCACATTTCAAAGTTTTTCACAATTCTTCACAGTTTAGGTGAACGTTCAAAACCAAAGATCCCGACAAAAATGATTGCTGTGATTTGTCCTTTGATGGATCCTGTCATTCCCAATGATAGCAAAAGGTGCGCTGTTCAGTCGAAAAACGGTCTAGATAGGGCGTAGTAACGAAACCAAAACCGGCTCAGCTGACGTACACACCTAAAAGTGGACGAGTTCTTACGGCGCTGTAAAGGTTGTAAAAATTGCGCCCTTCTCGCTGGAACGAACACGATGCATGCAGGCATTTTACTGTCGTCAGCTGCAGTTCTAGCTTTTTGAGTTTGAATCAGAATTGCAGGGGCCATTCTAATTAAATTAATTATCAATATTTGACGCTATTCTGCCGGATTTGGCCTCAGACAAACAGCACGGTTTCTTCTCAATTATTTTTTCCTATCCTCCGCTTTGAGGTAAGAAAAAGATGACTTTCGATTTGGCACATCTAGGTGAAAGGTTGAAAAGTTTAGCCAAAGGGATCGTGGTCAATTTTGACGAGTAGGTTGAGCACCATTTTACACTTTTCCGATATGACGCGAAAACTCACAAGTACCACTCCAGCTTAACCCACCTTTCCTTTCTTTTTTTGCTTTGTTTGCCCAGCTCTTTACATTTTTTTCTGCGCTTGTTCAAATTATGCAACAAAATTAGCTGTGGACGTATTCCATTGCAGCTGGTTTAATCATCACTGTTAAAAAATTCCACAAACGGTTGGACCTCACACAGGAATGTTTTTGTATTCATGCTTGGTTTCAATTGGACCTTGTGAATCATAACGTGCGTAGTTATCATGTAAATAAGCA